ATATATGTATATATATTTGCAACAGTCTATGAATAGACATAATGCCATCAGAAACCATGGAACACAAAACAAGGTACAGAAATTGTAAAAGAAAACAACACAACACATTAAAGTCCATGGTTTCGTCAGAGGGCGAGATACTACCCGGGTGCCCAAGCCGAAGTAGGGTGTTGACTTAGGGGACACCACCCCGAGCCTTTGGCTGAATAGCCTGTCCGCAAGGTAGCGGAGCGAATTCAGGGAATCGCGCCTATTGGGAGCAGGTGACTGATTGTACAGTTCATACGCCTTTCGTTTGTTCCTTTGTCAAACAGGGACCCAATGCTCCCCAGAATTCCAACACAAGGTTGCTGGAATACAATGCTTCGCCAGGATGAAGCAAGTGCCAGTTACTTTATTTAGTGGCGAGTAACGTCGGCCTCGTCACAGTGTTGTTAAACGGACATATGTGGCTTCATATAGGAAGAACGCTTGCCAGGCGAAAACCCACCACGTCCAGAAACACTGTCGCCGAACCGTTTGATGGAACGGGAAAATCCCGAACCACCCAACTGGCACCACGAGGAGGTTGTTCGGCATGAAACAGTTGCGACTTCCATCCGCATGGCACTCGGTACTATTTCATTGGGTGTGCATCAGATATGTCATGTGGATGGTGTTGTGAGGAGTATAGCGCGTCGGTCGTGCATCATATATCAAATACACAGATGAACGGCCAGGCGAAAGCGAGTGGGAGTACACAGGAAGATAAATCGAAAACGTTTATTAGGAAGTCGCTAAGGTAGCTAAGGCTAAAAATAAGTGACCAGAGGAAAGTTAGCTAGGGAAAATGTGGGCGTGTGCTGAGTGCGAGGGTGGGCGCCAGTCGCAGGACGAGTCTGATTGGTCAAAGAGCGGATACTAATGTCTTGCATATGACTCAAACAAACGGGAGCAACATTCAAACAAGCAAACAATGTAATTCCGTGACAAGCAAAGAAACTATTATTTTAGAAGAATTTACACATTCAAACAGGAGAAACTCCAGATCAATACATGAGTTTAGCGCAAGATGACCGTGGTCTCCTGTAGGCCTTGGTGTCATGTGTAGCTTGCCGAGGTCACTGTGATAGGCAGACACTGAGACGGACGCCGCTAACCGTGTGCGTGGGCGGCCGGATAAAGCTGTGGTCTCTAAACACAATGTACGTTCGGACTTTCTGTACATAAAAACAATAATATACCGTGCACTCTGGTAATAGGTTGGTAACAAATTTATTGCAGTTTTTAATCTTAAAAGTTAAATGCACATGTCTTGGCTCAAACGTAACATTTTTATTCGAACTTTGAATTCACACACTTTGCCAACGGGAATCAAGTTTACTTATCCCGGATAAATAAAAGTCCGGAATTCTGGTGGCGATGAAAGCGTCGAAAGCAGTTTCAGCACCTCTGGGTTTAAAAACTTTCTCTCGGAGAAAGTCATCCAGGTGCTTAAAAAAGTGGTAAGAATCGGTAGGTGAAAGGTCAAGGGAGTATAGTGAGTGAGGCAAAGTTTCGTAGCCCAGCTCGCACAGCTTCCACAGGGTTGTCCGCGCGAAGTGCGGCCGAGCGTTATCATGAAGAAGAGTTAACCCATATCTGTCGACCAGTGCTGGGCACCTGTGTTGAAGTTTTCGGTGCATTTTGACTTGTTAACAATACTTCTCTTGTAATGGTTCCGTCTCGATTCAGAAAGCTGTGATGGATGAGAACAGCAGCAGACCAGACAGTTAGGATAACTTGTTTGGGTGCACTATCGACTGGGGCTTGAAGGTGGTCAAGCCATTGAGAGGTTCGTCGCCGAGTGTCTTAAAGGATCCATTTTTCACCACAAGTCACAATCCGGTCGAGAAATGGAACGATTCTATTGCATAGAAGAATGGCAGATGACACCACAAAGGTTATTCCGACCATCTCTCTCGTCGACTGGGCAGTGAATTTTGAATGTGTACCCTTGAGTGTTTCGGCAACCTGATTCCTTTCGCAAATTACAAAATAGCAAGAAGAAAAGACAATTAAACAGGATACGCTGAATTCAGGTATTTCGAGTGTTCTCGTCAGCTGTTTACACACATTCGTGACATTGTCGTGTTGCATACGAAATGGGAGCAATGTACAAGGTCATTCAGTTCAAAAGAAAACGAGCAGTAACCTCATCAGGGTAGGGCGAGGCTGGCCGTAAGTTCAGCCTGTTTGCATTAATTGAGCTTAAGTCGCCGAATAGCTAAGGCATCGGCAAACTTAAGCAAGCAGGAATTGCTCTGTAGGTTAATTACTTTAAACAAATCACGAGGACGTTGGCACGTGGTGCAATCCAGGACGTGTTGAGCAATAGAGTTAGCCGGCAGTTTGGGACCGTTAGCTACCATGTTACGTGGAATGTTCTGAAATCCTAGTGGATAGCCTCCTCTCAGTTCGGCCAACGTACTTGCTACCACAAGTACAGTGGAATAGATAGATACAAGAGGTGGTAACGTGAGAGTGTGGCTTGTCCAGGTTGGGTTTGCAGAGCAACTTACTAACTTGGTGCAATAACACCAATTCCGCCGCGTAATAACATTTCCCAACTGCCAGGCGGAGGGGATGCCGGAATCTTCTATCATTTTGATCGCCTTTAAATAGCAGCGTAATGGATACGTTTTTATTGGGAATACTTCTTAAAGGCTTCTTATTATTTTCTGTGCTAGTAAACCGAGCTATGAATCTTGCGTGGTATCCATTTTCCATCCGGGTTCTAGTTCACTGTTGATCGAGTCTTCGGAACAAATTTTGCGAGCTCTTGTGAAGGCAGTGGACCAATGCTCATTGTAAGTTATAGGACAGAAACTCTTGTAGTTCAAATATTGTCCTGTCCAAGTAGGATTTTAATACACGGATCTAGTGAGTGTGCCTTCTGCATTCATCTTCATGTGTACATCCAGGAAGTGGAAAGCGTTGTTCACGTTGCTTTCCATTGTGAATTTGATCGCAGGGTGGCATTTATTTAGAACTTCGAGTAAACCTTCTGCCTGTTGAGGGCTATCAACTACAACGAACGTGTCATCAAGATACCTACTGTACAGGTGCACCTTTCGTATGTAAGGATGTAGTTTCGTGTACTCCAAATGGCTCATGGCCCAAGAGGACTTCCCATGGCTACGCCATCGATCTGATGGTATAACGTTCCGTTGAATTGGAACTGGATGTCCTTGGTGCACAAACGGAGTAGACTTGTGATGATGTGCTGGAAAGGCAACTTTGCCAGTTTGAACACTGATGATGTCTAACGTCTCTTCCAATAGGACGTTGGTGACATGTGAGCATACGTCACAAGAGACCATGTATTTCCCAGCTACGTTTAAACCCCGTATTTTGTCGACAAACTCAAACGTATCTTTGAGAGTAAAACCGGCTAGCTCACATCGGACAGGTTCAATCACCTCGGTTAGCCAACGTGCCAGCTTATGATATGGCGTGTTTACCAGTGATAAGACGTTAGGATTTCAGAGCACATTCCACTCAACATGGTAGCTAACGGTCCCAAACTGCCGGCTAACTCTATTGCTCAACATGTCCTGGATTGCACCACGTGCCAACGTCCTCGTGATTTGTTTAAAGTAATTAACCTACAGAGCAATGCCTGATTGCTTCAGTTTGCCAAAGTGTTAACTATTCGGTGACTTAAACCCAATTAATGCCAGCCTCGCCCTACCCTGGTGAGGTTACTGCTCGTTTTCCTTTGAACTGAATGACCTTGTACATTGCTCCCATTTCGTATGCAACGCGACAATGTCACGAATGTGTGTAAACAACTGACGAGAACACTCGAAATACCTGAATTCAGCGTATCCTATTAAAAAGTCTTTTCTTCTTGCTATTTTGAAATTTGCGAAAGAAATCAAGTTGCCGAAACACTCAAGGGTACACATTAAGAATTCGCTGCCCAATCGAGGAGAGATGCTCAGAATATCCTAGGCTTAAATGATCGAGTAAAGTTATCCTAGCAAAATAAGAGGGAGCAAAAAGTGAAAAAACAAAACAGCATTTCACAAATTAGAGCAACAGAAGGGGTGCCAACGACGCGAAAGCGAAGCGAACTCGAAGGGGAGAAGTGAAAACGATCAGCATGAAAAGTACACACCAAATAAATGAGAATAGATGAAACGGGTAAAACGCAATGGTCGCGGTTGGCAAAAGTCGACTCGGCAGCAAGAGAAGTCACTGGCGAATAAATTAGGCGCTGCTGGTCCGTCTCGCTTTCCAGGTTGAAACTCACGAGACTTGCATTGTGTTTGGCTCAAGACGCTGCAGGTGGTACTAATGCTGCAGATGCTATCGTATCCTAGCCAGACTGCCTGTTTATAGTGTGTCTGATGCTTAATGCTATGAGGAGTAGTGATTGACTATCGTGCCCGGCAGTGAAACTGTTTCGCCGATGCCGCCTTATTTTCGCATGATACCGAGCTATTTATGACGGCATGTTGTTCACAAGACGCAGGCGTTCTGACCCTAAATGTGTCGCTTTTATATCAGGTTGCTCTTCTCCTCCCACTATTCCACATTTCTTGGATCATCATGGTTGTGTGGCAGCAGTCATGCATTGCTGCTGCTGATGGTTGATGAAAACTTGGCATCAGCAGTTCGCCGGTACGCAGTGCCGACGATTAGCTGCCGCGCAGGCACCAACAGTCGCGCGTGGGTCGCGCACAGGAGGGTCACCCAGTCCCATACAAAGGACCGAATCAGTGACCTCAGATTACAAGGAACGCTTGTACTCCTTAAGATCACGGGCCTGATGATGATGTACTGAGACGGTGGTGTCAAGGAGGCGGGCATCACATCAACACCTATATCAGGTGCAACCAGGCGTGATCATTTAGATGGAGATAAACGTCAAGCGTATCATCATCTGTACTTCTATTAAAAGTACATCGAACGTAGCAAGTTTAAGGGTAGAAGTAGCGATGACAATCAACCGTTCGAACCCAAGGAAAACTTACGTGTCTTCTCAGTTCGACTATATGTGATTCTGGAATGGATTGTAGGATGATTGGCAATTCTTGAACTCTGGCTCTTGGTATGTGAAGCACAGCTCGAGACCATTGTTCAGGGGAAATGGCTTCATCCAAGGGGAAATGTGGACGACCAAAGACAACAGGCACTGCTCCGGTGCTCAGACAAGTGAGCAGTTGGAGCTGCCAGCCGTAAGTGATATCAACATTTCGGGCCACTGTATCCAATACAATTCCGAAGGTAGAGTTTTGTAACAACTGCAAGAGAAAAAAACGATGGACAGAAAGTGAAACATCAGCAGCTTCATACTACCCTGCCGTACATGTACAGAGATAACAATAATAATGTCAGCTGTACGCCGTAACGGCGCCACGCTGCCGCGCGACCACTACCAGTCGCGCGCAGGCTGAGTATACCGCGAGGACACTCATCCCTACGCGGATTCGAACCGGTGACCTTGTGGTTGCAAACCAAATGCGCAGACCCCTCGGCCACCGGCCGATATGTACAGAGATAGTTAACGGGTTCTTCACTACAACACAAATTATCACGCCGAAGGTCCAAAGTGTCTGACACTAAACAGTCAGGCGTCACCGAAGTAGGAGCAGCGGCAGCATATGAAGTACGCATGTGTGCATACCCGGAGCATCGGTAGACCTGGCAACAGCATACACTTAAAAGTAGGAGATAGAGGCTTACCGGAATTACATCAGCACATGGGAACCAGTCCGATTCCTCCAGCATGCGATTCGAGTACGCCTGTCTCAGATGCTCTGGCCAGCAGCTGGTCAGATCAGAAGAGGTCTGGTATAAAAACACTCTAGTTGCGTGATGAGACTTGGGATACAGGGACTGGTTCGACAGCTGTTCCAGTCGCCTTAAGAAACACCGACTCGAATGAAGACAGAGAAACAGAGTGTGCGGAGGTAGAACGGCCAACGCGTAGCGCAAGTAAGATAGGACGACGACCAGGAACCAAGCGAACCGACGAACTCCCAGTGTTGTCCCCAGCGATATCAACCAGTGGCTTCAACGAAGCCGGAAAGACAAAATCAAAGTCAGGCCTGAAGAGGTGTTGAGGGAAGTGGGAAGCGGCAATAATTGTGTGACTTCGCCCTGATTCGTGATGAATTTGCTCAAAGAGTTTTCGCAAAGAATCCAACTCCACCAAAATAACGAGGCAGGTACGATGGATGTTACTGGCTATTCGTACTGAACAGTTCAGTGCACTCTCAAGATTATGTGCGATCTCAAGACAAGCCGCAGCTGATACAGATTTACACTCACCAACATAGTGAGGGGAATCCATAAGGGCGTAAAAAACGGTGCTTGGAATTGCAGAGTGGCCCAAGGCACAAAATTTAAAAAAATCCCCAAGGGGACAGTGGTTCCAATTTAAGCAAGTATCCATAGTGCATTTCAAACGGGAGTCCTCGACCACAGTTTCAGGAGGAGCGGAGTGTAGGCGAACCGATGGCCACTTGTCGTAGAAAAGGACGGATGGGGTAGTGAGCTCGGCCAGATGACTCTCGTGAGCAATAATTGTCGCCTTCAGAAAGAAAACGACAGTATACAATAGATAAGTATCAACACAGAAGTAAGAATATACAACAAGGGGAAAACAGCGCAAATACGCCATGACAAACCTTCGAAGGATGTGAGCGTGTGCCACATGTGCAGAGCTGTAGTCAGAATAAACGTGTGAGATTGTACAGCTGACATGGCTGTTTTAGGTCCAGTGGTATTGGCTGGACTCGAACGGGATATGAGATGAATTCTAACATCGACTGAGACGGTGTATTCAAGCAGTTCAATGATGCATAGTCACAGTAAACTGGTAAACACCGGCTATATAAATCGGGTTGTAGCGTACAGGTAATAGCTTCAGTGGACACAAGCACAGACAACTGAAAATGTGAACCGAAATACGCAGGTCAGAGTTGATCATGACATGTAGATTACAATCCACAAGTCCGAATCACTCTGCCTCTGATCGGACGGGTTGAAGTACGATTTTCACAGAAGGTGAAGAGGAGTTAATGATCAAAGTCTTGAAAACGCTGCCATGTGAAGAGTCATGCTACGGGCCACAATCTCCGCTAAATCGGTACAAAGTGTGAACACCAGTGGTAGCCATAGAGTTGAAGTACCTGTTCCCAATGTCAAATGGCTTTGAGGCAAGGCAAATAAGGCACAAAACTACGCAATCTTGTCTTCAAGACTTTGACGATATCGCTCACATATCATCAGTGTAACCCACCGATGATCAAATTAGGATTGTTGCCAGGGACAGTGTTCATGTAGAACATGTATATGTGATAACTTTGGAGTCAATAATGGTCGGATGGTTCGGGTGTGTGCCTACTACCACCTTTTTATTAACAGCATGCGTAGAAAAAGCATCCGAAAAATATTAACAAATGTTCAACAAACGAAATATTGGTATAAACCTAACTGAAACATGTCACTATTGGGCACGGGTAATGCTAGTCCGTGCGACATTGCTGATCGAGCTGAAACAGCAACCTAGAATACAACCAAACCTGAAAGTGCGTACTCACTTTCCGCGCAATCAGTCAACTTCAGAAAAGTCCGCGACACGAAACTCTCTGTCGTCAGAATTTAAGAACTACGACTGCAATGTCAGACAGCACTGACAAGCAAAGCGGATGAGCCGAAAACAAAGTAGAGTAACTTCGAATGTTATAAGAAAGAAGTCATCCAAACTGCATTATCATTAAGCTCAAGGTATTTACAAAGTGGACGGATTTCTATGGTATCGATAGGTTTGAGTAAGGAGTAAGAAGCCATCCAATCAGTGCCCGAGAGACAGACCCCTGATGAGTTCGAGCGTGGACAGACGTTAATGGCTCCCGGTTCAGAGAAAGCCGGTGCTGTATGAACGTCGAGTACGGTTTCTGTTCACCCAAAGTCCGAATTCAAAAAAGACCACAGTTAGCCAGTCATTTCTAATGGCTAATATCGGAGTCACTAAAAGACCCATTGGATTGACAGTGCGTAGATTTTACCTGCCCGCCTACCAATATTTACGTCCTTGGTTCCCTCATTGCTAGTAGTCAACAAGTGTAAAGTAACGCGAACCACGGAGACAGTGTTCGCTGCAACTTGGATGCTCCATGCATGTTTGATTAGCAGATGCGAAGCTGCAGCTTGAATCAACGTAACGGACTGATTGAGAATATTTTGGCTAGGTAACCGGGAAGCTTTCTGCTCACACAACACATGAACTAAGGTATCCATTACCCTAAGTGCCTCTCCTCTCCTTTTTGTTGTTACTCATGTGCTGTGGTATACAGCCAAATGTTTATTATATATGTGTATATAAAAATATAAATAAATAAATAAATATAGTTGGTGGCATCCGGTTTCGGATTTGCCTGTCACTGTGGTCTCCATGGGGGTAGCCACATGACAGCTGCGCCTACAGAGTGACCATGGATGCCTTGCGCTGCACCACCCACAGCTCCAACCACACATCCATATCAAGTGTAGACCCGAAGGAATAAGACCGAGAGGCAAGTGGATAGGAGCCACGTTTCATCAACGGAGTCGGCCCACACTCCTTCACAGGCAAACACAAGCACACTGTATCTGGGAATCAAGCGCACACAAGGCAGTGACTGAACCGTAGTCCGCTCCACACTGAGTGCACGGAACCTCTTTTCGAGCCTAGCACGGCCACAAGGACCGCGCAACCCGTCCCCTCCAGCAACGACCAACTGTCTACTGAAGCCAGTATGGACAAGGTAGTGGGTAATAGACAGGTGGGCACCTTGTAAAGACGCGCATTAAGCGCAGCCACACCGGGGATGTCAAGCAACAGCTAATCACTTGAGACGACGATATCAAATAAAATAAATCGAATAATGCATACAGATATGCTGACATAACTCATCACTAAATAGGCGTAGAAAATAAATTGATTACGAACGAATCCGCGATAAGTTCAAGAGGTCAGAAAAGATATGTTAAGAAAATGCCACAAACACGAAATTGTTATCGAAATTAACTACAATTAGTTTCAGCGACGTGTGTAAGTTAATAGAAGGTAATTCAGGTAGAAACTAATATGGGATAAAAAATATCAGGAAAATATAGCAAACGCACCACCTGAAATAAAGAGACTCAGCATGCAAGCAAGCGTTTAGTAAATCGAATGCAGCGCCGGTTCTGCCTACGTTCTCAGCAGCACTCGTCGTTGTTTTGGCGTTCGCCCCGAGTGGCCTCGCTCATGGCTCACTAAGCCTGCCTGACTCAGGCATTCGCGACCGAAAGTGCCACAGCAACATGCGCTCAATGTCGATGGAGTACAAACCATCGTCGCTTGCCGCTTCTTCTCTCCATGCATGAGAGCTTTCTCCTGCAACCCGGCAACTGCCTTCGTGATCACATGGCAGCAATCACGCCGATCAACCGCCTTGGACTCCCATGACCTGTAAGCAAGATTAGAAGGTGATAGAGTCACTTTGATAATGTTCTGGTAACGAAGTTT